AATCTTAAAAGATTTGAAATCTAATTTTCCTGGTACCCAGATTTCATATTTTCAATTTTCTAGGATCAATAAAATGGTGCTGTTGAAATCCCCCAATCTCAGGTGCTTAGTTATAGCAGCCCAAACAATACTAACACAACCTTTCATATTTTTTTTCTTAAATAGTAGAAAGAGCAAGGGCATTAAAAATCATCTGAGCTCATGAATCAAATACCATTTTGTCTTTGATAGAAATATCCCTGGTAGTCAAAAAGGGAACACTACCTATAGAGAGGTTATATGGACATAGTGATGTGTCAATGAACAGGAAAGTTTACATCAGAAGATACATCCAGTAGGCGCTCCCTAGTTCCTGCCCTTGTGGGCTCTATAAAAAGTTTTCAATTTTATTTTAAAATAATCATGCATCTTGACATGCTGAGTTATTAATACTTGGAAGTAGTAAGGATTCAGTGCAATGACAACACACTGAGGAAGAGTTGCCATTCACAAAAGTCAGACACCAGCCCAGGATAACTCGGCAAAACAGAAACCCAGTTGCTTTCTTCCTCTAGTGTTTCCTTGTGAGTTCCCCAAAATAGCTAAAAACATTGGGAGAAAAAATGGATTTTTCACAGTCCTTCATGGGAGAAACAGATAGCCTGGCTCATGGGAACTCAAGAGTCTGAACCAACAATCAAGGAGCCCTCATGGGACTGATGTAGGCCCTCTGGATACATGTGACAGTTGTATAGCTTGGTCTATTTGTGGAACTCCCAGCAATAGAAGCAGGGGCTATCCCTGGTGCTTTGGCTGGCTCTTGGGAACCTCTTCCTTGTGCTGGATTGCCTTGCCCAGCCTGAATACAGGGGGAGGTGCTTGGTCTTCAGCAGCTTGGTGTGCAATGCTTTGCTGATGTGCGTGGGAGGCATGCCCCTTTCTAAGCAAATACAGAGGAGGGATGGATTGAGCGGGGAGGGGAGGAGGGGAGAAGACAGAGGGGAGGCTGATGTTGGGAGGCTAAATAAATAAATAAATAAATTTTGAAAAGATTAGAGGGCCTTTCCTGAAAAGATGAGGTTTTATAATGTCAGAAAATAAGACATTTTCTGTGAGGATATGTAAAGCTTTTCATATGTGACATGTGAAAGTTTGTTCACCATCCATGTGTGAACAAACCTAAAATGTCTAACAGCAAACAACTGGCTGCAATGCAGAAACACAGGACAATACCATTCTCAACAACTCACTGTGTTAGTGTCAAGCTTCTTAAAGCTAAGATCATAGACACATATTCAGTTGGTAAAGAAACAGTCAAAATGAACTACCGAAATAAAGTGAGACAAAATATTTGACCATCATGGTTATAACAGAAATGGTAAAAGAAGTAATGCTGACTGATAGTACTTTTATTTATTATTGCTAAAATTTACTTACATATCAGAACATAATTCACACAAACTAGCTGTATTATATCATCATCACTCTAAATAAGACACGTTTCAATAAATAAATAAACTAATATGAATGTAGAAGCTAATGGATAACTTTATCTTGATCCTGAAACTAGTAAATAAACTTATTTGAACATGAGAAAAGGTCATTGGAAACATGTATAAGATTCTTAAAAAATAAACACTTAATTTAACTCTTTAAAAAAGGTTTAGGATTAATTCTGAATTTTCATGCTCCAAGGATGAATCTTGTGGTGCAACATAAGGAATGTGGATAAATTAAAACATAATGAACAATTAAGTTATCTCTCCACTTATCAGGCAGCTATGAGAATGTTACCATGCTTGGGAGGGAATGGAGAAACTTGAAAAGGCGCACAGCAAAGCTAAAACATGGGCAATGAAGTTCACACAGCCCATTGCAATGGAGCATTACATTGACCCAAAGATTCCTGAACTCAAAGGAAATGAATCAAGACCTGATGGTTTTCATGAAGGCCGACCATCAGCAGGAATCTATGTACATTTAAGGTGAATGTGAGGAAGGTACACTCAAAACAAACTGTGCCCTATGGACGTAACCTTCAGCTATCAAGATGCTGGTCTCGACAGAAAACTCAGTGAAGGAAGGTTTGAAATCAACAGAATGAGAGTGCACAGCAGTGCTGCACAGCTAGCTGGAGTTAGTAGTTCATAGTTAACAGCACTCTGACAGGGACCCACACTGGGCTACTCAAAACCACCTCGAGCTCCAGCTCTAGGAACTGTGTCAACCTCTTCTGACCGCCACAGGTGTCTGCACACATACACACATCACATAAACACACACACACATGCACACACACACATGCAGGCACACACCTTAAAAAGTTAAACAAATTCTTTCTTTTGCTCATTTATGTCCTTGCAATTTGATAGACGAGATCCAGTAATGATGAAGTCTGTTCCTTTATCACGTGAGTCTGAACTGCCTACAGAGTTTGCCAAGGCTAATGGGACACTAGTAAATGACTCAGCAGATGTCTGAAGAGCATTATTTCCTGGAAACAAAACAAAAGCCCACAACTATGAGGTGTGTGACTAATGCTATCCCCACTCCTCTAACTACACAATCTATTAGCGGGCCACAGATGTGTGACAAAACTTGGCAGGGCTTTATAGAACAGTACCAGCTGAGGAAACCAGCAATGTACATGGTAGAGTGCCCCAAAATATAAAACTGCAATTCTTTGAAGTCACTATGCTTTGGGGTAATTTATATCATAAAGCTACAAAAATGAGATGGCAAAAAAAAAATCTTTTTTTGTTTTGTTTTGTTTGTTTTGCTTTGTTTTTCAGCAAATTTTTTTTTTATTAAAAATTTCCACCTCCTCTCATTTCCCTCCTCCTCCCGCCTCCTCCTCCCCCTCCCTCTCCAGTCCAAAGAGCAGTCAGGATTCCCTGCCCTGTGGGAAGTCCAAGGTCCTACCCCCCTCCATCCAGGTCTAGGAAGGTGAGCTTCCAAACAGACTAGGCTCCCACAAAACCAGTACATGCAGTAGAATCAAAACCCAATGCCATTGTCCTTGGCTTCTCAGTCAGCCCTCATTGTCAGCCACATTCAGAGAGTCTGGTTTGACAGTCCCAGTCCAGCTGGCCTTGGTGAGCTCCCATTAGATCAGTCCCACCGTCTCAGTGGGTAGACGCACCCCTTGCAGTCCTGACTTCCTGGCTCATGTTCTCCCTCCTTCTGCTCCTCATTTGGACCTTGGGAGCTCAGTCCAGTACTCCAATGTGGGTCTCTGTCTCTATCTCCATCCATCGCCAGATGAAGGTTCTATGGTGATATGCAAGATATTCATCAGTGTGGCTATAGGATAGGGCCAGTTCAGCACCCTCTCCTCTGCTGCCCAAGGAACAAGCTGGGGACATCTCCATGGACCTGGGAACCACTCTAGAGACAAGTCTCTTGCAAACCCTAAAATGGCTCCCTTAATTAAGATATTTACTTCCCTGCTCCCATATCCATCCTTTCTCCATCCCAACCATCCCATTCCCCAAGCTCTTCCCATCCTCTCCTTCTCACTTCTCTCTCCCCCTCTCCCCTTACCCCCATCCCACCCCCACCCCCAATCTCCCAATTTTTGCCTGGCAATCTTATCTACTTTCAATATCCCAGAGGATAACTATATGATTTTCTTTGGGTTCTCCTTCTTATTTAGCTTCTCTAGGATCACAAATTATAGGCTCAATGTCCTTTGTTTATGGCTAGAATTCACTTATGAGTGAATACATACCATATTCATCTTTTTGGGTCTGGGTTACCTCACTCAGGATTATATTTTCTATTTCCATCCATTTGCACGCAAAATTCAGAAAGTCTACAAACTCATGGAAACTGAACAGTCAACTACTGAACCACCCCTGGGTCAGGGAAGAAATAAAGAAAGAAATTAAAGTCTTTCTTGAATTCAACAAAAATAAAGACACAACATACCCAAACCTATAGGACACTATGAAAGCAGTGCTAAAAGGAAAGTTCATAGCTCCAAGTGCCCACATTAAAAAAAAAAAAAGGAGAAAGCTCACATTAGAGACTGAACAGCACAGCTGAAAGCTCTAGAAAAAAGGAAGCAGACTCACCCAGGAGGAGTAGAAGACAGGAAATAATCAATCTGAGGGCTGAAATCAACAAAATAGAAACAGAGAAAACAATCCAAAGAATCAATGAAACAAAGAGCTGGTTCTTTGAGAAAGTCAACAAGATAGACAAACCTTCATCCAAACTAATCAAAAGGCAGAGAGAGAACATGCAAATTAATAAGATTAGAAATAAAAAGGGGGACATAACAACAGACACTGAGGAAATTCAGAGAATCATTAGGTCTTACTACAAAAGCTTATATGCCACAAAGTTGGAAAATGTGAAAGAAATGGACTTGTTTTAGATAAGTACCATTTATCAAAATTAAATCAAGACCAGGTGAACAATTTAAATAGACCTATAAGTCGTGAGGAAATAGAAGCTGTCATAAAAAATTTCCCAACCGAAAAAAGCTCAGGACCTGATGGTTTTAATGCAGAATTTTATCAGAACTTCCAAGAAGAGCTGATACCTATCCTCCTTAATGTGTTTCACATAATAGAATCAGAAAAGTCATTGCCAAACTCTTTTTATGAAGCTACAGTCACCCTTATTCCAAAACCACACAAAGTCCCAACCAAGAAAGAGAATTACAGGCCAATTTCACTCATGAATATCGATGCAAAAAATATCTTTTAAGTGAAAAGCAAGATGAATAAGGTGTGTGTGTGTTTTTTTAAATGGCTAAATAGTTTTAAGGTCTGAGAGATTTTGTCCTCTCTGCATCAAAATGGAAACACTGGAAATTTGGGATCTAAAAGGAAGTTGTAAGAACAGAGGACTATGTGACTTGCCCAAGAACAGAGTCTACTCTTGGTCTACTTGATCTACTGACAAACCAAGACTACTATTCAACACACAGATGTGGGCACTTTAATTCATAGCTTTGGGCTCTTGGCCATTCCTGAGATTCTATGACTCTGTGACTTTACGGTTCTATGGTTCTAAGCCAGAGGACAATAATGCCAGTGCTCTAGACAGCCTCAGTACAGGAAACAAACATGGTCTAAACAGGACGACCAGCTACATCCTTCTCTTCCACTTAAAAAGACCAGCTGCACCATCATGGATTCAAACAATAAGAATAGTCCCATGTTCCTGATATTTCCTCCAGAGGTCACCAGCCCAGAACATCAAACAACAACACTTACAGCCTCAGTCTATAACTCCAAAAGCCGAGTGCAGAAACTCCTTATTAGAAAACTGAAGATCTTAGGGGTAAGTAAAATGTGTCCCTATGTATATTCTACACAGGGCAGGGATGGGTAAGAACTATCTGAGCACACATTCTTCAATAGGGCTGAACTCCAACTTTCATTTCCACTCCAATTATGAAGTAAGCACTGTGCTTCTGTATAAATTATGCACAAGATTCTATAAACAGGAAAATACAAGATAAATAAATTCAATGTTCCTGGACTCTTAAAAACCATAACTGCCAAACTAACCATCTTTGAGATTTTTCTAGTCAATTTCAGAAAGAAAAAAAAAGTTACAATTAAGTAGATGCTAGGCCAGATTCCCTATGAGGCATATTGAAACACATGCTTTTATACCTTCCCACGCAAGTTCAGAACTCACAGTTTTATATAATAGTCACATATATGCTTATTTATGCTTATAAGTATAAACACTTTACAATAGCCTCATTTTTCTTTTTTAAATTAAAATCAAGTATATCATCTCCCTCCAACCTAGTCTGTGTTCCCTCCCCCACTTTTCCCTCTCAAAACTGTGGTCTTTTTCAAATTTTTGTGATATATATATATAATCCTCCACCACATCTGTGACCTCTGGAACCTTGGCCCAGACTGCCCCTGGAGAGGTAAGCCTCTGGGTTCCTGGTTGGAGGACTTAGTTCTCTAGGCCCTAGTCCTGGAACATCCCATGCCCCACCCTTACCCACTAAGCCCCAGAGACCCCAAGCAGCCTCCACACACCCTCTACCATTTCACACTTCATCTGTGATCACCGGACATCTGTGACCATTGGACAACGCCTTGGCCCAGACTGTCTAAACTGTCCCTGGAGAGAACCTGACCAAGACTGCCCCTGGAGAGGAACCCCAGAGCCTTATCAGAATCAACTGGAGACACAGACCTACCTGCAACCAGAGGAAGAGCAACCACAGGCCCCACCTTCACCAACTGGAGGAATATGGATCCCCTGAAGAACAGACCTCACCTGCACCCACTGGAGGAAGAGATGGGAAGGCAGCAGTGTAAGAACGTAGCTAACAACATAAAGACTAATATGACAGCACCAAAACCTTGTGGTCATACAACAGGAAGACATGAACATCCTAACCTGATGAAACAGAAGAAAATGACCTTAAATATAACTTTATGAAGCTGATAGAAACTCTTAAAGAGGAAATGAAAAATTCCCTTAAAGAAATGGAGGAAAAAACAAACACAAAATTTGAAGAAATCAATAAATCTCTTAAAGAAACCGCCCCCCCAAAAAAAAAGAGTAGGAAAAAACAAACAGGTGAGGCAAACAGTTCGAAAAGTTCAAAACTTGAAAATTGATATAGAGGCAAGAAAGGAAACACAAACTGAGTGAATTCTGTAAATGGAAAATCTGGGAAAATTAACAGAAACTACAGATGACAGCATAACCAACAAATTATAACAGAAGAGAAAATCAGAGGCACTGAAGATACGATAGAGGAATTAGATTCATCAGTCAAAGAAAATGTTAAATCTAAGAAATCCTTAACACAAAATATCCAGGAAATCTGGAACACCATGAAAAGACCAAACTTAAGAATAATAGGAAGAAAAGAAGGAGAACTCCAGATCAAAGGTACAGAAGATATATTCAACAAAATCATAGAAGAAAACTTTTCCAACCTAAAGAAGGATATGCCTATGGAGGTACAAGAAGCACACAGAACACCAAATAGACTGGACCAAAAAAACAGTCTTCTCACCATACAGAAATCAGAAGACTAAACATTACAGAATAAAGAAAGAATATTAAGAGCTACAAAGGAAAAAGGACAAGTAACATATAAAAGCAGACCCATCAGAATTACACCTGACTTCTCAATGAAAAATCTGAAAGCCCGAGGTCCTGGGCAGATGTGCTGCAGACACTGAAAGATCATGGATGCAAGCCCAGACTACTATACACAGCAGTTTCAATCACCATAGGCAGAGAAAACAAGATACCCCATGACAAAACCAGATTTAAACAATACTTATCCACAAACTCAGCATTACAGAAAGTATTAGAAAACTCCAACCCAAGGAAGTTAACTGCACCCATGAAAACAGAGGCAATAAGTAACCTCACACCTCACACTAGCAAACCCCCAAAAAGGAAAACACACAAACCAAACACTACCACCAAAAAAAAAATAACAGGAATAAACAATCACTGGCCATTAATATCTCTTAATATCAATGGACTCAATTCACTTATAAAAAAACCACAGCATACAATAAACACACTTCAGCCTCAATGACAGACATTACCTCAGAGAAAGAGTTGGGAAAAGTTTTTTCAATCAAATGGACCTAAGAAACAAACAGGTATAGCTATCCTAATATCTAACAAAATAGACCCCAAACTAAAATCAATCAAAAGAGATAGAGAAAGACACTTCATACTCATCACAGAAAAAAAATTTATCAAGACAAAGTCACAATTCTGAACATCTATGCCCCAAATACAAGAGCACCCACATATGTAAAAGAAACATTACTAAAGCTTAAATCACACATCAAACCTCACACACTAATAATAGGAGACTTCAACACCCCACTCTCACCAATGGACAGGTCAACCAGACATAAACCTAGCAGAGAAAGATAAGAATAAACAGATGTCATAACTCAAAAGGACTTAATAGGTATCTATAGAACATTCCACCCAAACACACAAGAATATACCTTCTTCTCAGTACCTCATGGAATCTGCTCAAAAATTGACCACATGTTTGGTCACCAAGAAAACCTCAACAGATACAAAAAATGGAATAAATAAGCAACTGTATCACCATGGTTTAAAATTAGAATTCAACAACAAAACTAATCACAGAAAACCTATAAACTCGTGGAAATTGAACAAACAATTGTTGAATGGAATCATCCTGAGTCAAGGAAGAAATAAAGAAATTAAAGCCTTTTTAGAATTCAATCAAAATGAATGCTCAACATACCCAAAATTATGGGACACTGAAGGCAATGCTAAGAAGAAAGGTCATAGGACTAAGTGTCTACATAAAGAAACTGGAGAAATATCACACAAGTGACTTAGCAGCACATCTGAAAGTTATAGAACAAAAAGGAGCAAACTCCCCCAGGAGGAGTGGATGACAGAAAATAATCGAATTGACAGCTGAAATCAATAAAATAGATAAAAAGAAAACAATACAAAGAATCAATGAGGCAAAAAGTTGGTTCTTTGAGAAAATCAACAAGATAGACAAATTCTTACATAAACTAACCAAAAGGCAGAGCAAAAATATGCAAATCGACAATATCAGAAATGAAAAGGGGGACAAACACAGAGGAAATCCAGAGAATCATCAGGTCATACTTCAAAAAGCTGTACTCGACCAAATTGGAAAACTTTAAGGAAATGGATAATTTTCTGAATAGGTATCACATACCAAAATTAAATCAAGGAGGATAAATAATTTAAATAGACCTATAATGCCGAAGAAATAGTCATCAAAAGTCTCCCAACCAAAATAGCCCAAGGTCAGATGGTTTCAGCACAGAATTCTACCAGAATTTCAAAGAGAAGCTAATACCAATATTCCTCAAATTATTCCACACAATAGAAACAGAAGAAACATTCCCCAACTCTTTTACAAGGCAACAGTTACCCTGATATCCAAACCACACAAAGACTTAACTAAGAAAGAGAATTACAGACCAATCTCACTTATGAACATTGATGCAAAAATACTCAATAAAATACTGGCAAACCGAATCCAAGAACACATCAAAAAAAAATCATTCACCAAGATCAAGTTGTCTTCATCACAGAGATGCAATGATGGTTCAACATACAAAAACTATCAATGTAAGCCACCATATAAATAAACTGAAAGAAAAAACTATATGATCATATCATTAGATGCTGAAAAAGTATTCAGCAAAATCTAACACCGCTTCATGATAAAGGTCTTGGAGAGATGAGGAATAAAAGGAACACACTTAAACGTAATAAAAGAAATACACAGCAAGACAACAGCCAACATCAAATTAAATGGAGAGAAACTCAAAGTGATTTCACTAAAATCAGAAACAAAACAAGGCTATCCACTATCTCCTATCTATTCAATATAGTACACTAAGTTCTAGCTTGTGCAATAAGACAACAAAAGGAGATCAAAGAGATATAAATTGGAAAGGACAGTCAAACTTTCACTATTTGCAGATGATATAATAGTATACATAAGTGACCTAAAAAAAATTCTATGAGGGAACTCCTACAGCTGATAAAAAAAACCTTCAGTAATGTAGCAGAATACAAGATCAATTTAAAAAATCAGTAGCACTCCTATATACAAATGATAAATGGGCTGAGAAAAAAAAATCAGAGAAACATCACCATTTACAAAAAAACACAAATAACATAAAATATCTTGGGGCAACACTAACCAAAGAAGTAAAAGACCAATTCATCAAGAACTTTAAGTCTTTGAAGAAAGAAATTGTGGAAGATATTAGGAAATAGAAATATCTCCCATGTTCTTAGATAGATAGAACCAACATACTAAAAATGGCAATCTTATCAATAGCCATCTACAGATTCAATACAATCCCCATCAAAATCCCAACACAATTCTTCACAGACCTTGAAAGAACAATACTCAACTTCATATAGAAAAACAAAAAAACCCAGAAGAGCCAAAACAGAGTAACACAGACACTGAGAACAACAATTAATAAACGGGACCTCCTGAAAAAGAAGCTTCTGTTAGGCAAAGGACACAGTCACTAGAACAAAATGACAGCCTACAGAATGTGAAAAGATCTTCACCAACCCCACATCAGACAGAGGACTGATCTTCAAAATATATAAAGAACTCAAGAAATTAGACATCAACTTACCAAATAATTCAATCAAAAAATGGAATACATTTCGTCATTAGAAGCCCAATGTGCTATCCATTGCACTACGGGGGGGAGGGGAGAGGGGGAGAGAGAAGGAAGAAGGGGGGATTGGGGAGAGCTTGGTTGAGATGGAGGAAGGGCAAATATGGGAGTAGGGAAGACGATATCTTAATTAAGAAAGTCATTTTAGGGTTGTCAAGAGACTTGGCTCTAGAGGGGTTTCCAGGTGTTCAAGGAGATGTCCCCAGCTAGGTCCTTGGGCAGTAGAGGAGAGGGTGCCTGAACTGGCCTTGTCCCAGAGCCACACTGATGACTATCTTGAATATACCATTGAACCTCCATCTGGCGATGGATGGAGATAGAGACAGAGACCCACATTGGAGCACTGGACTGAGCTCCCAAGATCTAGTTGAAGAGCAGAAGGAGGGAGAACATGAGCAAGGAAGTCAGGACCGTGAGGGGTTGGTCCACCCACTGAGACAGTGTTCCTGATCTAATGGGAGCTCATCAAAGCCAGCTGAACTGGGACTGAATGAGCATGGAATCAAACCGGACTCTCTGAATGTGGCTGACAATGGGAGCTGACTGAGAAGCCAATGATAATGGCACTGGGATTTGATTCTACTGCATATACTGGCTTTTTGGGATCCTAGTCAGTTTGGATGCACACTTTCCTTGGCCTGGATGGAGCGGGGAGGTCCTTCGACTTCGCACAGGGCAGGTTACCCTGCCCTCTCTTAGGACTGGAGGGAGGCGGAAGGGTGAGCAGGAGGGAAATGGGAGGAGGGGAGGAGGTGGAAATTTTGAATGGTATTATTTATAAAGCAATAAAAAATAAAAATGGGGTACAGATCTAAACAGAAAATTCTCAACAGAAAAATTGCAAATGGCCAAAAACACTTAAGAAATTGCTCAACATCCTTAGCCATCGGGGAAATACAAATCAAAATGACTCTGAAATACCATCTTAGCATGGCTAAGATAAAAAGCTCCAATGATAGCTTATGCTGGAGAAGATGCAGAATAAGGGGAACACTCCTTCATTGCTGGTGGGAGTGCAAACTTGTACGGCCACTTTGGAAATCAGTGTGGTGGTTTCTCAGAAAATTTGGAATCAATCTGACTCAAGACCCAGCAATACCACTCTTGGACATATACCCAAAGGATGCACACTCATACCACAGGGACATTTGCACAACTATATTCATAGCAGCATTATTCATAATAGCCAGATCCTGGAAACAATCTAGGTGCCCCTCAACTGAAGAATGGATAAAGAAAATGTGGTACATTTATACAATTGAGTACTATTCGGCAATAAAAAAAATAATGGCATCTTGAAATTTGCATGCAAATGGATGGAACTAGAAAAAAAAATCCTGAGTGAGGTAACCCAGACCCAGAAAGACAAACATGATATGTACTTAAAGTGGATATGAGACATAAAGCAAGAGGATAACCAGTTTATAATCCATGGTCCCAGAGAAGCTAGAGAACCCTAAGAAATACACACATAGATCCCCCTAGGAAAAGGGAAATGGACAAGATTACCGGAGAAAATTGGGAGTATGTGTGGGAGAAGGAAAGGTGGAAGGGGAGAAGGAAAGAAGAAGGAGAGGGAGGAGGAGAACACAAGGGAATGGGATGCTCAAGAAGGGAGGTCAGAGAGGGAGAGAAATGAAAGAGATTCCTTGACTGAGGTAGTCATTAAGGGACTAACAAGAAACATGGCACTAAGGAAATTCCCAGGATCCACAAGGATGACCCAGCTAAGTCTTTAAACAACAGTGAAGAGGATGCCTAAACTGGCCTTCCCCTGTAATCAAATCGATGACTACCTTAATTGTCATCATAGAACCTTCAGCCAGAAACTGATGGAAGCAGATGCAGAGATCTAAGCCAAGCACTGAGCCTAGCTTCTGGAGATCAGTTCAAGAGAAGAAAGAGCAATAATATGAACAAAGGGGTCAAAACCATGATGGCGATACCCACAGAAACAGCTGACCTGAGCTAGTGAGAGCTCACTGACTCTGGACTGATAGTGGGGGAACCTGCATAGGACCAAACTAGGCCCACTGGATGTGGGGAACAGTTGTGAGGCTTTGGCACTCTGTGGGGTCACCGGCAGTGGGACCAGGATTTATTCCTAGTACTTTAACTGGCATTTTGGAGTCCATTCTTTTTGGGAGGCATACCTTGCTCAGCCTAGATATAGGGAGGAGGGCCTTGGTCTTGTCTGGAAGAAATGTGTCAGACTTTGTTGACTCTCCACGGGAAGCCTTACCCTTTCTGAAGAGTAGATGGGGAGGTGGGGGGAAAGAAGGGTAGGAGGAGGGGAGAGAGTGGGAATAGGGATAGCTATGTTAAGTGAAAAGATTGTATTTGAAAAAGAAAATAAATAAAAACAATCTTCTGATTCTGACAGTGTTGCTGACCACTTGCCCTTGGATAATCAATTCACAGGGTGGGGCAGGAGCTTAGGAAAGACTAATTTTCCCTCTCAGAAATCCTTAGTTGCCTTAGTTCTCTGTCTACAGGTGGAGTCCTGGCATACATTAATTTCTCCATCAATCATCTCGTTCATTCTACAAATACTAATTTTATTTATCAAACCTTTCTTAAGATAATGGGAAAGTGAGAGGTAGTCAGATATGTTTGAGGTTATAATGTCACCCATATCTTTGAGAATATTTGTCCTTAGAACTCCAGTCTCCCATAATGGAAAATAGAAAGTAGACTTTTTTCAGGAAAAATAAAAAAGAAAATAAGAAAGATCATCCTATAGCAAGTGAAAGACCACTAGTGCAATCTGCTTCAGTCTTTCTTCAAATACAATGGAGTTCAATTTTGAATGAAATCACTTATATTACCTTAACAAAAATGGAACGAGGTGCAAGCACCTATGTTAGTTGCTGTAGTCACAGAAATAAATACAAGCTAGTTTTTCTTCACTCAGGAAAATGAGGTGTCACTAAAACATAAAAACAGCATGAATATTTTGAGAATTGTATTTCAATTATCTAATAAGAGTAAAAACGGTACGAGTGGCAATGGGAGGCCAGAGCTGGAACAATTAAAAGGGGATGAGTACATTTCACAGTGAAGTGGACAGTTAATGCAGACTCTGAAGAAATGATGGAATTTCAACAAATGGAAATGAAAGAAGAAAAGAGAAGCACACTAGATGCGGAAAGCACTGGAAAGTGATGCCCAGGAAGCAAAGGGAGGGGGTGGTGGAGGAGAGCTGGGAGGGGTCAATAAAAAGACTCGACCTGCCTGATAAATTAGTCATGTTCTAGCCACGCAGTATAACAGAGGTCTGTGATACAAGAAGCAGGTAACAAGCCAAGAGGAAGCATAAAGAATTTCATTTTCCTATTAAGTGAAAGAAGTCAATGAGTGTCCTGGGTGAGGAACGGACAATGGAGGAATATCTCTGTATATCCACCAACATGTGGGAAAACAAAGTTATGAAATAAGCACCCAGATTTTGCCTACAGCAGGATGATGGCACACAAATCAAATATGTATGATTTTTGTAATACCTCTGTCAGGCTGCTATTTATATTTTACCTGTATTCATTCGTTTGTGTGCATAGATGGTCATATGCATGCCACAGTACATGTGTGGAGGCCAGAGTCCACTCTCTCCTTCCACCACATGGGTTTCAGGGATCGAGCTCCACTTGTCAGGCCTGGTGTCAGGTATCTTTACCTGCTGAGCCACCCTTTTGGCTGAAGTATGCATGATTTCACAACTAGAGATGATAGGAAAGTTAGCTAACTTTGGGACTGTGGCACTCAGGGAAGTTGAAAAGAACAGGTGAACTGATGACCCCAAGCCTAAAAGGATGACAGCATCAACAACAGACAAAGAAGTCAGAAAACCAGACTTAAAGCAGAAAAGTGAGCCCATCTGAGGGCATATGGATTGAGTTGATATTGGGACATTCAAGAGGGACAGCCATCCAGATATGACAAAAAGTGCCTCTTAGGATTCGGCCACTAGAAGTTGGTACTGCAGCAGAAGACCTCACACAGATTGAGGAAGGACAGTGAAAAGTTCACAAATGACACAGCTCCTGGGTCATACACCTTCTGTCCTCTGTCCTCTCTGCCATCCTCACCAGGATTCTCTAGCATCCACAGACCCCCTGCCTAGCATTAACAGTAGGTCGAGAATATGCCTTACGGGCACAGGCCTGGGGATGCAACCTTGCTTCAAAAGGTTCAGAGGATCACTCACCTCCAAAAGGATTTTCCTGAGTAGCCCCGTGAGGCCAAGCTGGTTCCATAATTTAAATTCAAATCAGATGGAGGGATTAACAAAACATCAAGGAACATTATAAAGGGACGTCCATTATCCTCCCCTAGATTATAAAGAGGGTAACGGCCAAATCCATAACTAAAGATTTAAGTAGAATGGACGCCACCACTGTGCCTCTTCTGAATTCACTTTCCCCTCTTTTGCAGACCACCCAGATCCTGTGTGGAATCATGAACTTTTCATTTGGAGTTGTTTTCCTTTTCACCTTGGTAAACCCATATCCAAGGTTTCCTTTTATATTTATCTCAGGATATCCATTTTGGGGCTCTGCTTTGGTGAGTACAGTGCATTTAGTTCAATTTAAAGGCATATCAACCAGGCAAGGTGTTAGTTATGAAGCAAGTCAGACTTGGGTATATAATTCTGTAGAAGATGCCACAAAGGCATTAATAACCCCATTGCAATTACTTCTATCCTCCTTTGAATCACCAGAATTGATGGTAGCCCATCTTTGGGTCTTGAAATTTTGAGAGAATATTCCTCTGGGGTTTATGGTTGTTTATTGGTCCATTAACTCATCCACAATTTCTTGCAACACATGGTAAAAACTGTATTTACAGAGCAAGACAATAAGGATCCAAATTTTAGCACACTGATTATCCTTCAATGGACATTCAGTCTCATAAGAAAGAAACCATGCCAAGAGATCAGGGTACTTCTTATATCTTTGTGGTGTTGCTTCTGATGTTGATAAGCAAGCAGTTTGTTCTGCAGAAAGTGAAGAAGCAGGGACAGGGACAGCTCCTGGATGTGCCTTCTGAGCCACGCAGAGATGTTTATTTAATCACATGTAGTCCACATTAATTTAGCACCTTCTTAGTTGGCATCAGAGAAGGGGCAGGGTGTGGGATTCAGTAGAAGGCAGTCCCTGGCCACAAGTCCTCAGACCACAGGCTATGACAAGTATTTGGTAAGGACGCAGAAGCTGCTTCCAAAGGAAAGACATCTAAGTGTAAAGGGAATTGTCCAGTCATTTCCAGCCAGACCAGGGCTTAAAAGATGAAGGGTTGTTTACTTAGGTGAAAAGTATATACAAAGAATGGGAACAGGGCAGTGTCTGGATATAAAGGGAGGGAGGTCTCATTGTCTGACTGTCTGGGAGAGCATCCACTACAAATGGGGCTGGAAAAAGAGGCTGAAAATTTAAACATAGCTGGGGCCAAACTCAGATTTTAAGTTTCCACTAAGCAACAAGGCTCCCATACTTGATCGATCGCCATAAAAATTGGTGTGTGTGGTTTCTTCCTTCCTTTCTTCCTCCCTTTCTTTCTTCCTCTTTTCCTTTCTTCCTTCCTTTACTTTCCTTCCTTCCTCTTTTCTTCTTTCTTTTTCCCTTCCTTTCTTCTTTCCTCCTTTCCTTCCTTCCTTCCTTCCTTTCTTCTTTCCTTCCTTTCTTTACTTTCCTTCCTTTTTCTTCTTTCTTTTTCCCTTCCTTTATTCTATCTTCCTTTCCTTCCTTTCTTTCTTCCTTCCTTCTTTTCCTTTTTCTTTTCTTTCTTTCACCAGTCTGTTGACCAAAACTGTACCCTGTGTTCCCATCCAACAGAACACAATGGTTGGACTGTAATGACTATACGACCTTAGTGTTCCTAAAATGATGACATTGATGTCATTTGGAAACTAAGCCATGATATCAATAACAGGAAATGGATTAGGAAATTGAAAGTCCAGTGAGGTAAAAACAGCCTCTTCTTCACACAGGTGGCTCAGACTAAAGCAGACCTAACCTTTTTGTTCTCTGTGGACAGAGGTGACTCACAAAGGACATGACCCTTTTCGTCCTCTGTTCTGTGGACAGAGGTGGCTCACCCTCCTCGCTTCCCTGGGGTTTCTGTGACCTTAGGAGAGAGGCATAGGGAAGAAGTGGACAGAGACATGACCTGGGAAAGGCTTGACATCAGCTTACCATGTTCATCATGAAGATACTTTTTATCTATTTGTTTGTAGTTCATTAACTCTGGAGCCTTTCTGATTGCACTGAAAAGAAAAACTACAGACTACATGGTGAGTTCTAGTTCTGCCTTATAAAAATTATAACTACTAAGTACTTTGCCTGGCTCTAAAAGTCATCACAGAGTCAAAAGTCATTAGCTATCAGGAGACCTTTCCAGGTTATTATGTTTGAGTTTCATGTTCTACATAAAGACACTGAGGCACGGAACAGTTCAATTATTGTCTATGGTCTTAGGTTGTTAACGCAGATTGGGTCTCAGTCATCTAGTCATTCATTCTCTTCGATAAGTAGTTTTACTGCAGACCAGATGCTTTAACAGGTCATAGTCTGACTCACAGAGACAGCACGATGTAGACAACCTAACTAATCATAAACAGACTCCAGAGGTAAAGAATATGTTGCTGGTCTATGTAAATTTGTAGATATAGAGTATTCTATCTCACTCAAAGCAACAAAGACATTAGATAGTAATTAATAAGTCAGTAAGTCGTTTGAACCAAAGAACATCCTAACATTTTGTAATTTTAAAATGTGTTTACTTTTATCAGGTATGTGTATGGGGTGCATGTTCACGCCACAGTGTACCCATGGCTGTCACAGTGTACCTGGGGCTGTCACACAAATGTATCCATGGCAGTCACAGTATCCTCACGAAAGTCACAGTGTATCAGTGGCAGTCATGGTATACCCGTGGAAGTCACAATGGACCTGTGGAAGTCAGAAGACAGCTTGTAGGAGCTGGTCCTCTCCTTCTACCATGTGGGCCCCAGCGATGGAACTCAGGTTGTCAGGTGGCAAGTTCATTTATCTGCTGAGTCATCTCACCAGCCCTAAAAGTTTGCAATTTTAGGAAGATACCAGTGACAAAGTAATGAGTGCAGTGTTTGGTTAAATACAGTCTTAAAGGAACATTTAAACAGGCCATAGCTACCTCTAGATGGAGAGGGGATCAAAGGTTGGCTGACTTCGCTCATCCACTGCGGACGAATGCCTGAAGACTGTTATGAGCTGCAAAGGGTTTAAAGGATCACACGGTGGTTTCTGGTGTTGGGACTAATCTAGCTCTCCAGTACTCGCCCACCCCCACTGCTCTGTCTGTGGACAAGGTAGACCTGAGTCTTGTGTTCTGTTCTGATTCTATTGCAGATAAAAATGAGCCAGGTGATGAATTTACTTAGTGCCCTGGGAGCAGCAGCCGGAATCATTCTCCTCATATTTGGTTTCCTTCTAGATGGAGAATTCATCTGTGGCTATTCTCCAGATGCTAATCAGTGTGGTGCTATTACCACTCTGTTCATTGTAAGTCCCCTGCGCCATTTCTAGAATGAGAAGCAAATGGTTTAAACAAAAAGGCTAGCACCCAGCACCATCCAGATAGTATTGTGGACATGTGTGCATTTCTTTTTACTCAAGACATTCAAGAGTTCACTGTACCAGACCAACATTTTAGCAGGCATTGTAGAGTAGAACAATAAACACTCAATAACTTATAAAAGGTATAAAACATGCATGCAAAATAAGTATAATATATATAGGAAATGATACTAAAAGATAGAGGCTTAGTGGTATGCATATGGTTCAAAATTCCCAATATACATTATAATTTTGTCTATGCTTTTTATTTGATTTTAATGTTTAGATTATATTTCTGATAAAGTATAGTAAACTGAAAATAGACATTTCTGCTCTGCCCCAAATACAACAATAATTGATGTAAAATAATGTAAAAGGTATGAATGAATCTATATAGAAGTAAACTGATTGTCAAGTAGGCACATTAAAGACTGCTAACATGAGTAACTTCACAGTGGAGGGCACGCTTAGTTGAGATGAGGCAATAGCTTTAATCCAAATGCCACCAAAAACTTGTTGAAGAAGTTCAAAACTACCTGAGAGAATGGGGTTCATGTAAAAAGAGAGCTGTTCTAAGAGTGTTTGGTGTGATTGAGTATTAATAGGACCCCCAAAATCAGATAAGGGGATCAGATAAAAGGGAACTGGTCCTGGTCATGCTGAACAGAACTTTCCAAATCAATCCTTCTCTGAAAACAAAGTGTTACCTATAAAATAAATAAAACAAAACCCACTCAAAGCCATTTAAAAGGCTTAAAGGTTTGCTATTTGCAAACTAGAAGTTTGTAAAGAAAAGCAGCAGTGTTGGTCTTCTGAAATCGAATTCTGAGAGAAAGGTGAAGGGCCAGTGTCCACTCAAGGCAGGTCTACAGTGACCTGGGCCCTCAATAGGCTTCTTATTCTTCAGGTACGGATGAAACAAAGGGCCCTGCCCCAAAGCGGTACAGAAGCTGACTGAACAGAGTACATAGAGAGGAAAACAAACTCGAGAAACTGCAGCCACAAGCCAAGCATCTGACTCCTGCCCACGCCTCAGCCCCATCCCCACCCCCTGAGATTTTTAACTTTCAGTAGACACCAACTGTGTGATCCAAGAATGCTCACAACTTGAACTGGATCTTGCCAGTGCTAAAGGATATATGGGGATAGATGACCAATAGCTTCTCAAAGTCCCTCTAACTTTTTCCAACCCAAACTGAAAACATGTATAAAAAGAAATGACTCTATGGATGGCAGCTAACAGGAACGAGATACACTGTGCTCCTCTGCCAATAATACAGCCTAATCATCACTGTTTGTGATGATTTTCAACAAGAGAATATATACATATATATAAAATACTAGATATAATGTGTATATAAACACATTTTAGATAGATAGATAGATAGATAGATAGATAGATAGATAGATAGATAGATAGATAATGTTCAGAGAAGGTGTATATTGCAGCATTACTAAACCACCACCATCACCAGTACACCTCACATAGTCTCAAACAACAGTCCTTAAGAAATTACAAAGTAGATGTTCTACAAGATATGACACAGCTCATAGGCAGCTCAAACTTCCTGAGATCAGCAGCTGCGTGTTCTCCATTAAAGATTATTGGAGCAAAAGCGCCCTCCTTCAAAGTGCCAGCAGCCATTAATTGTGACTTTCTTATCTTTCTATTTTTCCCATGCTAGTTTGAGGTTAAGATAACTAATAGAGCCGGGCGGTGGTGGCACACGCCTTTAATCCAAGCACCTGGGAGGCAGAGGCAGATGGATCTCAGTGAGTTTGAGGCCAGCCTGGTCTACAAGAGCTAGTTCCAGGACAGGCTCTAAAAAGCTACAGAGAAACCCTGTCTCAGAAAAAAAAAGATAACTAACAGACAACCTTACTAACATGACATCACTGTGACGGTGTCTGGATGACCTGTGTTCTGTAAGACTGAAATTAACCAGGCCCAAACACCAAAGACACATGACGATAACTACAGACCTATATTTCTTACAAACATAGCTGTAAAAGTCCCCAGTTAAATACAAACAGGTCGAATTTAGTGATGTATACACAGGATCACCAACTACAACCAGGTATTATGAGTCTCAAGAATGCAATGTATATTTAAGAAAATCTATGTATTTATTGTACCATATCAGGAAAACACTAGATGAAATCCACATGATATTTGAGTGGACATAGAAAATAAAACATTTGACTAAATTCGTCATCAAATGACAAAAACACTCAACAAGCCGTGAATAGAGGAAGAACTTCCTCAGTTTGATTAAGTCATCTATAAAATTCCCCAACTTGCTTTCTGTCTATCAAAAGCCTGGAAATTTATTAATTGATGCATTCAGCATCCAGCAGGATTCAATCAGAAGGTCCCAGGCTGCAGTCAAGGAGTAATGAGGAAGTAGGATGGCAAACAGAGACGTGATGTAAAGATGCACCATCATCTGAGATGGTATAGTGGGAGACAACATCCACTTACATAAACGGCACCCAGCTTCAGTCCAGTGTCGATCTCCACTGCAAACAAACCACCTATATAGAAACATGCATTACAAGAACATTGCTGTGGCATTGTTCAAAGTAAAACAAACAAACAGGGAAAAGAAAAAAAGAAGGAAATAAATCAGCTTCTGTCACAGAGGAGTAAAGTATTGAAATACTTTTTACACCATGACACATTGGATCACGACACATTGTAAACCAGGGGATATTAAATAGTTATTCAAGCTATCACAAAGATACAATAGACAAATATAGCATAGAATAGACTGCCAACAACATGAACCTTTGCAATGGCAACAGAAGGATTCACTCTTGGAAGAGGGCAGGCTTTGACCAGCTCTGTGCCAGGGTCCAGCCTGTGAATTCCTGGCCAAGTGTGTATGGCTATGTGTGCTCTTAGCTGGCATGGTACCATCTACTTTAAAAGTTTTCTGTAGCTGGGTGGTGGTGGCACACACCTTTAATCCCAGCACTTGGGAGGCAGAGGCAGGTGGATCTCTGTGAGTTTGAGGCCAGCCTGGTCTACAGAGCAAGTTCCAGGACAAGCGCCAAAGCTACAAAAAACCCGGTCTCAAAAAACAAAACAAAACAAAATTTTCTATAGCAATTAGAAAGACTGAGTGGTGTTTCTAGTCTAGCTTTCTCTCCGTGTCTGCTTTTCTGTGTGCTGCTCTTTTTCTGGAGCAGTAGTTTTCCCTTTCCCCCTCTTTTCTTTGCCTTTTCTATTTTTGTCTCCACCATCTCCTATCTCTTGGATTTCCTCTGTCTTTGTCCTTCAAGAGACTACTTTTCTGAAATGCACTCGTCTTTGGATGCTGCGTCTATGAAATGGAAAATTATCTGCATATCATTTAGCAAACATTCTGTTTGATTTTCCTTAAAGAAAATAATGCTCTCCTATGCCATGCTGGTACAGCTTATATCCCCAGTATCCTTCACTAATTTGAGAGGTGAGGGTTTATTGTGTAGTTTTGACTACTTCATTGTGATCAGAAAAGCCATCACTGTCCTAATGTCCTGACTCCACTGTTTGCTTCTGTTGCAGGGGATTTTGGCTATGCTGATGATCTTCAGCATTATTGAACTGTTCATCTCCCTCTTTTCTTCAGCTTTGGGGTACACTTCAGAATAACTTGGGGAATGCCGTTCTTGAATAGCACTGTGCAAATAAAGATGCAAAACGACACAACTCTGAGGCCAGTACCGCTCATGAGAAAGAGCCAAGACACATACATACTTAAAACTTGCAGTTTTGAAGCAAAAGAGGTTGGGAGTGGCTCAAGGGGGGATCATTTTGGGTGATGAAATCCATCCTGTCCCCTGGCAAGGCCACTTCCTCACCCAACGGAATGCTCACTTTGGTGTGACCATCCTTCTTGCTCACTGTGGCATGGCCACTCTATAAGTAAAGATATTAACCGAAGTTCAAACTCGGGTGACCATGTCATCTGACTTCTCTACTCTTGACAGTTTCCTGATAAGTCCCTCAAGAGACACCACACAAGGGCTCCTGCTCCATGAAGCTGGAAGATAAATTGAAAGGAAGAATGAGTTGATGAAAACTTTTACCTTGAAGCCACAAGACTGTGTACTGTTATGAGTCAGGCATCTGCAAGAGTGACGGCAGCATGCTGTTTAGTTTTTATTGTTACCTTGACACTGACTAAAGTTACCTAGGAAGAAGAATGGTCGATTTGAGTAGTTGCCCACATAAAATGACCTGTGGTCATGTTTGGGGCACTGTGAGGCTTGATGTAGCAGGGACCACGGCACTATGAGAGGTGATATCTCCAGCAGTGGGAGGAGCTGTAGAGATGGGTCAGAGAGCAGAGCAAGCAGCATTCCTTCATGATTTCTGCTTCTGATTCCTGCTTGAGTCTCAAACCTGATGTATAAGCCAAACATAACCCCTTTCTCCTCTAAATTTCTTTTGGTTATAGTATTTACCATAGTAACAGAGAAGCAAATGAATAAATAATCAATAATCAATGATGACAAATACTAATGAAGCTACCATATCCCAGACTTTGTGTCAAATGGTATAGCAGCTGCTCATCTGACCTCACAAAATACTGAGGCAAATTTTGTTTCATCCAAACAAGGAACATTTCGTGAAGCATGAAATGGGTAAGATTTGCTCAAGGTCACAAAGTTTGCAGTGGTGGGTCACATCAACATGCAGTCTGGTTCCACAGCCTATGGGTATCCATCTCTCAAGCTCTTTTTGGGTCTCTGAACCCCTTTATACCCTTCAAAGTTAAGAGTCATTACATGTTGACAGAAATAATGTTTTCCCAAAACAACTATATTTTTCACAGTAATGTGAAGAATAGCACTGGTTTAATTCTCAAAACCCCTAAGGAAACACTTTGCAGACTTGGTTGCACACTCACATCGTCTGAGGAACTTCCAGAAAGCCCAGTGCACCGTGGGCAAACACACATCACTTACATCAGCCTGTGGTAGGAGCCACTCATCGGTTTTCAGAGATTTACAGGCAATTCCAATGCAGAAGTCACTGCTTTAAGACATCATAGTGTGTGCGTATGTGTGTGTGTGTGTGTGTGTGTGTTGGTGGAGCAGCTAGATACTCTCTATGACCCTTCCCTACAGTCCATCATGTCTCATGCTCTGTAACCTGTGGAATACACCTGTATGTTCTAGTGAAAGACCTAAAGTGAGAGCTGGAAAGACAGCTCAAAAATAGAGTATTCCCTGCTATTGATTCCCAGCACCCACACTGGACAGACCCGAGAACTGAAGTTCTAGGGCCGCTTATACCCTCTTCAGGTTCCCATGACACCTGTATGATTGCGGTGCACATACACCCATACAGGCACGCGCGCACACACACACACACACACACACACACACACACACACACACACACACAAATAAATAAAATATAAAGCTATTTAATGTCCTCGTGTTGTTTTGAAGACACTTTTGAACTCATGGATCCCGAAGAGGTCTTGAGGATGTCAGAAGGTTTTCGGTCCTCACTCTGAGCGCAACACTGTACCTTACTGCCCTACGCTAACTGACATCGCTAGCACTGAGACATTGGCCATGCCATTTCAAACGTCATGGCTGCCCATTAAGGAAGGTGTGCCTCCGGTCACAGACATGAAAATGAAACTCAAAGGAGCCCAAGAGAGCACAAGGGCATCTCATTTAAAATCAGGATTTGAATTAAGATTCCTAACTGCAAACCTCATAGTTCATGCTGCCTTGGGCACAGGAAGAACTCTATCCTGTTCCAATGAATAAATTTACAAGCTTCTTGCATTTCAGCTCTAAGCTGGAAGGTGCATGTATGAGGGGGAGGGGCAAGAGACAAAGGTTTTTATTTCCCATGTATTGAGGTTCTGGTCAAAGAATATTTGGTAACTGAGTGAGTGATGTCCAAGCTCAAGAAATAATTAAAGGAGAAACCTGACACATAAAGGTAAGGCCTTATTAGACTAATTATTGGATGTTATTTTATCATGCACAAGTCATGTGACTTAAACAGAGGATTTAAACACTATTGGCTTTAAATTCCAAGGTTAAAACTCAGTAACGCCTCCCTAATGCCTTGCTGTGAACTGTCAGCACATGGAGCTTTTAAGTCTCTGAGTAAATGGTATAGGGGCTTATAGTTAGGATTTCCTTGCTTTTAAAACATTATTTTATCAATTTCTAGCAGTGTGTTTGGGGGCTAGTTTCTCCGTTTCCTGAGCCTTGGTTTCTTTAATCATAAAACGATCAGTTGATACTATGTTGTCAGACTTCCTACACAGGCAAAGTTTGGTACATGAATGGACATCTGATGAATGTTACTTTCCTATTAAAACAGGGAAACATTCCTTCAGAACACAAAGAACTATAAAAATGTTAAGTATCTGAACTTACATTGTAAGTACAACATTGGGATCTCCAGGCCTGTAGCCAGATTCAATCTCACTTCAATACTGAACCTCAGTTCTGAGGAACCTGCTTCTCCCTTACCAATGCTCTGAAACAAAATCCCTCTGAAGGCAGATAACTGTGGGTGCCAGGGCTCTGCTGAGCAGTCAACATGCCGTTACCTTACTTACTAATTCTGAGAAGCTTACTGGTCCTCACCTTCATGGGAGAAAAAGCCCAACAGAGTCCTTAGGTCTTGTAACATTCCAGAAGCACAAGACTCAGAAAAGCATAGCCTTGCTTTTAAAAGACATGGAGACCTAAGGCTGAGTAAGGAAATGACAAAATAATCATAGTTAAAATGCAGTCTTCAGAAGAGGGAAGCACAGTACTGAGAGATAGGGACTTGAGACTGTGGGTCTGCAAAGGCTAACTGGGTAAAAGTTGTTTGTTCTACTTTTATGTCAGACAACATCTGTCATAACAGATGTTATGACATCTTTTCAAACTCAGAAGCATGGGATAATGACAAGAGGAGAGCTCAAAGGAAAGATTGGTTAAGGGTGTGATAGCATCAACAAAGTATCAAACATAAAGTAGGAGAAAATGGAGACTCAAACACTGTGCAGTTGGCAAGTCCTCCTTGTGGTGGGCATTTGAGCACACTCAGTCCAAGTCAGCCGAGACAACTTGAGTTGAAGATACAGCCTGAATTCGAGTCAGTTTGGGAGGATTCACATGAGAAGGTCATCTCACTGGCTAGAAAGGCAAGAAGAATAAACATCCCAAGGCGAAGAAAATGGAACTTAGAAAAAGACACGAAGGTTGGGTTGTATATCCCTGCCTGGGACAGGACTCTCAAAGGCTGTACATCCACAAGGCCTCACCCTGCTCCCACACACAGTGCATTGAAAGGTACATATCTCTAACCCACCCACCTTGCCTGGACACGAGCTGCAGGTCTCACAGTCACCTCCAGCCTGGAGAGCCCGGTTTGAACATACTCTTAAAGACCTTAATTAGAAAAGTTAACTCCCATTGTGACCTTACTGAGAAGTGGGCCTTAAGTGGTGATTAGCCATAAGGGCTCTGCCCTTATAAATGCTAACACTGTCACCATGGAAACTAGCGGGTACCCATCCCCAGACACTCCACGAATGTGTGTTCTCTTGCCCTCATGCCTTTCTCACTGGGATATCAGAACACAAAAGCCCTGTCAGGCGTGAAGCCCTTGATCTTGAACTTCTCAGACTAATAAATTGTAATAAGTCTTAGTTATTTGTAAATTTGCAAAAGTTTTGGCTATTTCCTGGAGCAGCACAAAATAGACTAAGGCATTATGTCATCATATCTACTGACACACTACAACAGATACACGCCCAAGAATCTTTAATAGTCTGGGGACCTGCCGTTTTCACTCTCCTCCTCACTATAGCATTTCTGACCAGTGACTTAAAGGCTGTCACCTGAGTTTTCTGAGTGGCAGTGTGTTCTCTACCCAAACGGCAGCTTGTCCCACTAATAAACTACTTCAGTAATGGAGTGATGACCCTTTTATGTTCCACCAAAACCAGCCTCCGCAGAAACGCTTCTACTCAGTGATCCTAATTATATGTCTCCAACCAGCTTAAAAAGAGAGGGGAAAAAGAGGCGAGAGAGAGGTGAATAGCCTCAGATTAGTTAATATAGTTCCTGTGTCAACCCTTCAGAGTGAATGGGCAAAGTTACCTCTCTACACCTCTGTATCTCTAATGAAATAAAGTAATTGACAATGAAATTAAAAATTATTAAGAAGCCTAACATTTGAGCATAGAGGTTGTATATGGAAGAGAGGATAATAATATCCTTAAGAAAAATCTTTTATTCTCCTCCAAATATTTAGAGTTTCCCATGCCACCAACTCGCTCCACTTACCTCCTTGACCTGGCACTGAACTTGGCCATACAGCTCCAGGCAATACTACAGAGAGAGGGCAGCAGGAAGGTGGAGGAGAAGGGTGGGCTCATATGTAAACGCGGCATTTCAGTTCACAGCACTCGAAATAGAGCTTGCTTGTCTCACGCTTCTGGGTGCATGTGCTATGGAGAACAAATTATATTTCAGGCCATTTCTGCTAAATTTGACACAAGATTTACATAGCCTACTAGAACAGTGTATGAGCAAATGAGAATAGTGATTGAAAGGTAACAAGTACACCACTCCCAAGTGGACCTGTTGGGGGATTCTGCGTCTTTGCATGGGTGCCTCCCCACCTGCTCAACCCTAAAAGTGAAGCGTGAAGGTAAAGTCCGTCCCGAGCAGCCCATCTCTGGAGAGTTTCTAGCGCCCTCCTAGCCCTTAGGGACCCACCACCCACAGCTGCTTCCAGGGTGGTGGCTGCAGAACTTCTTCTAACTAAGGGAGCATGAAGCACAGCCGACAGGCCCCAGGGGTCTTTTTCAAGAAGTGAAACCTCCCGGAAAGGCAAAAACTTTTTTGTATATCCTTTCTATCAAAGCAAAGTGATTGGATCAAGTCTCAAGGTAGCAGAAGTGGCTAATTTCCTGTCACCTGGTGTCAATCAGAGGCACCAGCTCTAGGCCTGGTCTACCTCACTCATCTTCAAGTACTTGAGATCGGAGAAGCGGACAGCTGACTCAGCCGTGTCTAAACTGGCCCTTGAGCCTTGGAGACTTGGAGACCCAGGTAAGGAATGAGCTTGCTCTGTTTAAATGACTGAAAAGAGAGGCTGGATGAGGAGAGTCGTGGTTTGAGAGCCTAGAGAGTCTTTCAGACTGGGGTGTTCCTGGTGAGACTTTCAAAGGGCAGCGTGATTTCAGCTGCGGTGATTTCAAGGCTGGCTGTACCCCCTCCTCCTAACTTCCCTCTCAAAGTGACTGTAGGCAATGGGTGGTGAGCAGATGCCAGCATGGAGATAAAGCCTCTAGCGTTCTGGGCTCAACCTAGGTTCTACTGCATAGAAGCCACATAACCTTGGATGAGTTGCCAAACCTCTCCTTGCTTCAATTTTCTTGTCCATAAAAATGGGAGCAAGAGCAAGGCCCTCTGCATCATGAAGATCAAACCTAAAATATAAAATTTTTTTAGGAATGTCTGAGGCCAAATCATGAAATAATCCTGGCCTTAAGCAGAATCTAACTCTATTCCGCTTGTTTCAGCTGATTTTTGTCTCCAAGGATCAATTTCAATAACTTTAGTGTAACCATTCATAGAGTGTGTGTGTGTGTGTGTGTGTGTGTGTGTGTGTGTGTGTGTGTGTCAGAGGATAACCGCAGGAGTCAGTTTTCTGAGGGAACCTGGGCCATCAGCCTTGCCAATAAGTCAGATAGTTGGTCTGATTCACAAGATCGTTTTTTCTCGTGCTCTACCAGGAAAGGAAATCAGGATAAATCGGCAGGTGATAGGAGATGTAGAGAAAAGGCCATGTCTGAGAGGTACTGCAGTTGTGGAATAGTGTGGTTTTGCTCATGCCTGGATATGGGAGGGAGCTGAAGGAGCAAGAGTAAAATCCGCCCCCAAGCCTGAGTGTGTCTGTGCACATCCACGCACACATGTAGAAGATGGAGCTTCACGGTAGATGCCTTCTTCAGTCACAAGACAGGTCCCTCACTCAGTCTGAAACTTCTGAATTCGGCTGGACTGGCTGGACAACAAATGCCAGGGACTGGACTTCCTGCACTGAAGTTACAAGTACCGCAGCTGGAGTTCATGTGGATGCTGAGACCCATACTTAGTCCTCACGCTTGTGACGCACGACCTGAGCCATCTCACAAGCCCCCTGGTTTAAACCTCTTAGGTCTGAGCAGTTGACAAAACAAAGTGAGCCAAGGCACTGTGCCCAGAGAAGACCTTTTACAGAGAAGTTTCGGTTGAGCGACAGAAACTGGTTGAAGAAATGCAAGCGAGGAGGAAGTGGGGAAGGGGTAGATAGCAAAATTTGACAAAACTGAAGTGAGGAAAAGGGAAATGGGGTAGTAATGGGGGACCTTGTGAGACTGTTAAATGGGAGGTTAGGGACTGGGGAATAAGGTAGCACATTTTTGTTTAAATCAGGGCCAGGAATAATAATTATTCCCTGAGAAATTATTACCTTATCAATTGCAGCACATCTTATATTATCCTAATTTTATAGAGGTCACAAATGTTCGTAATGCCACAAAAGAGCGAGAGTGGGTCCCAGGAAGAGGGATTTCTGGGAAGAGCAGCACCTGGTGGGAGGGAATGGTCTGAGAGGGTTGAGGAGGCAAGGTGTAAGAAGATTTGCCTGTGGCCATAAGTGCAGGAGGGAGGGAAGATGAGTGCAAAGCTATTCTGAATTGCAAACGGGGAAATTGAGGTTGGGGGCTTCAAGCATCTCAGTTGATGATGGAGTTATTGGACCTAAAACTTATTATTCAAACCAAAACCATAGAAGAAAATGTGATATCGTCAGGGGAATGAGAAGGTGGTGTCTCTAGAAGTCAAAAAGGATTGTGGAAGATGCTATGATATCTTCAGGGGAATGAGAAGGTGGGGTCTCTGGAAGCCAAAAGGGTTGTGGAGTTGCAGTGGGTGATAGAGTGGGACGGTGTGTGAGCAAATCAAGTCGTGATTTCAGTGCCAGCATTTTTCACATTTGTGAAAATAAAGCCCTGTATCGTCACATTTTGACCAATGTGGTCAGTAACCTCTGCTAATCTATCAGACAATCTTTTCTGTGAGCTGGAGTCCACTGAAGCCATTTTGTATAATTTATTTTAATGATAAGGCAAAGGTGGAGAAACCTACATTTGTGGGAGTATATGGACCAGCTCTAATTTCACGTGTTTCCACTGAACTTAATTTTCTTGCACAGACAATCTACAGCGCCCCCATGTGTGGGGGGAGGTGGATAATTGGCATAAAATGGTATGTCAGTCGTATTTGTTTATAAAATATTATTTTGTAGTAATATTTATTCAACACTTTGGAGAAATATAGTTATTAGAAAGATACTATTCTAACAGAAAGAAAAATGTTCTTCTCTCCATATTATTATTGCCAAGAGCCCATACAGACAGCCCTGCTAGACTTTGCCCAAATAAAAGGTTTATTTCAGCAACAACACAGAACCAAGACTTAAGGAGCCTCTGATGACTGCAGTGGAATTACAGTAATGCTAGTCCAATCATTTTCATCACCCTGAATAAGTAATGATCTTGTACTTTAAGACACCATCATTAAAATTAGTTCCCTAGAATGAAGTTAAGTGAACTTTAGTTCATTTCATAATTGCCAAAAGATACTGGGAAAAATTACGGGAACCTCTATGCACACACTAAAAGGAAATGCAATGCTTACTGAAAGAGAGAGGTATAAAAAAAAAAGCTGGGAAAAACACATCTAGTATTCTTGGGGACACAGTAAACGCTCAGTTAAACAACTACAGTCATACAGTCTAGCCTGGGGTTCACAGAATGAGCATTGGTATCAGTGGCTCCCTAACTACGTATAAGGTCTTTGCAAAAGCATGCCCCACATCCAGGGGCATGATCCTTATTTGTGATGAAAGCAAACTGGTTTCTGAGATTTTTCTAGTTCTAGACCAGAACTCATTTAAAAATTCCTTGGTAGGTAAATAATTTTTATTTTGGTTGGCGGCCTCATGAGATGGTTTGTGGCATGAAGTAGATTCCCCTAGGGCCAAGTGACATCTGGTAATTTAGAACAGGAGGGAAATCAAGTAAGAAACTCTTCCCTAAAGCCCATGCTGCAGACAGCTCATGTTCTGTATCACTTTCAGTAATGTAGAGTGGGCATATTTTGAAGAGAAAGGAAGAGAAACTGAACTGTCCCCCACAGGAGTCAAAGTAGTGAGTCATGGACACTGCAGTTGACAAGTTGAAGGCTTTATTTCAGATCATTAGTAATTACACATAACTTAAGTGAGTTGTCTAACTTGTCTGCCCTTGTCCTCTCCTCTGGAAAGCAGAGGCAATGATTCATCCCTTGTTGCCTCTACTGGGCTCAGAAGAGATGTCCCAGATGAGATTTCCTTGTAATTATAAAACTGGCAGAAGTTTAAGAGGTTAACTCCCCAACTCTCCAAGACATTAGCGTAAGTCTCAGGAGCCCGGGTAGTCTTAATTCCCAAGACCCGTTACACAGCTTACCATCAATAAGGATGAGGCTAGAGGTGTGGTCCTAAAGAAGGATATCCAGGGCACAGAAAAGTATCAAAGGAATTCATACATGTGGTTGACATAACCAATAGTAACCAATAGATGAATGCTCCCAGCAAATGGCATGTGAAGAAGGCTGGATGGCCTTAGCCTGTCAGAGCTGGGAAGAATGTGGTTCATCACCTCATAGCCTCAGAACCAACTATGAGCACTAACAGACGACACCCACTACCCTCCTCCCCTAGGCACATATATGCACTCATTTTTCAGAATCCTAAGAGAAGGGCACTGTTCTCATTTTACAGATGGATAAAGAGGAAACTACAGCTCAGAAGTATATGAAAAGAATTACAACAAGGCAGCTGATATTTATTAAGATGTGCATGCTTTGCATAAATCGAGCTTTCCTTCAATGCTTACTGAGAAGCTTTACCATGAACATTATTTTAGATGCTGGTCCAGAGGCAATAACATCATTTATTTCTGTAGAGAGAAGACTGCAATAAACAAGTAACTTGCCATACTAATACTTGGAATGTAGTGAACAGAGCAAGATGTACTGAGGCAGAGAAAATATGTAAGAGCATGCATGATAGGCTGAGGGTTCAGACAAGGCCTCTGGGGATAGCTAATGTTTAAGCCTGGGTGAAAAAAGTTACACGAACATGAACCATCACTATCTATCTCAGACAAGCTGGGAGACAAGAATAATTACTACTTCTGGTCTAGAGTGGAAGAACCTGAGACCCAGAGAACTTGTCCAGTACCTCAGAGTAATTAGAATCAATGTTTAAAAGCAGACAGTCTGACTCAGGGGCTGTGATCTTACATGTGACGGCAGAGAGCATTCTTGATGTGACCTGCTCTGACTCAGGGGCTGTGATCTTACATGTGACGGCAGAGAACATTCTTGATGTGACCTGCTCAAAGTCAGAGTTGGAGAGAGAGAGAGAGGCCTAGAACTATCCCTTCCTGACCGTAAGGACAGTCCTTACCATAATCAGGCATGACACCTGTGGGCCACTATGCTGTTCAGAGACAAATAAAAAAGTCAATAAAAAATATGTTTTGCAGAAATCATAAGAAGAACACCAAAGGAGGGACCAGCTGGGAAAACGCACAGATCGGGAATGAATTTCAGTGATATTTTCTTAACGTTCACAAGGCCTTGGCCCAAGCACCAGCACAGACAAAAATTCATATGAACATAAATTCATAGTTGTTATGGGAGTATAGCTCATTGGTAGAGTAACTGACGGCATAGTGGTGTTTGAACATTAATATGTGTCCAGACATGATTAGCAGGCATGCTAGCTCAGACTCCTGGGCCCGTATGGCCTTGCCTGTGATAGACCCTCCAGATCCTTCCCTAGAACACAGGGCTAGACCTTGCCTCACACCTACTAGGAAGCTACTAGGAAGATGGCGTGCCTCAGTGGCACCATCCAGAGAACACTAAGAGAAGTCTTAGATGGTGACAGAAGATAAGATTGCCCAAGATTTTGTCATTGATCTCACCTGACTGTTTTATTTTTAGGAGTTTGAGAAGAGAATGACAACACCCAGAAACTCAGTGAGTGGAACCTTCCCAATACAGTCTACCAAAGGCCCCCTTGCCATGCAGCCTTCTCAAACGGTGAACCTCAGGAGGACTTCTTCACTGGTGGGCCCAACACAAAGGTTCTTCATGAGGGAATCGAAGGCTTTGGGGGTAAGGCTGTTTTCTTCCATTCCCTGCCCTGGAGATGCTCTGGCCTACAGATGTTAATGTTTCCAGCTGTGTATGGAATTCAGCCTGCCTTGCACAGGCAGATCTAAGTTTGTGTGTTCTTTATATCTCACACAGTGGGCTAAGCCAGAGGGTTCAGGGGAGTTACCCCCCAGATCACTGAAGGATGATCTTATAGCATCTCTTGGCTTGGAGGTTAAGCACCTTCCAGTCTGATCCATTGTTCAAATTCCAGGCACACTTGTTCCTTGGAAATGCCCTGTGAAGTGGGAGAGAATGCGAAGGCAAAATTCTTAGCAGTGTTACTGCTCCATTTGGTACCTTTGCACAGTCTTTAATCTGGTCTCAGGCTTCCCACCTTGCCTTTGACCTCCACCAGTGATGGGCTCAGTTCACCACCAGTGCTTTTCTTCTCTCCCCAGGCTGTCCAGATCATGAATGGCCTCTTCCATATTTCCTTGGGGGGACTGCTGATGATCCCCACGGGAGTCTTTGCGCCCATCTGTCTGAGTGTATGGTACCCTCTCTGGGGAGGCATCATGGTAAGTTAGAATAAACAGCAATCATTTGTAAGATGTTAAAGGAGAGAAAAAAGATGTCCAAGAAGATTTAGATTGTTTCTGTGTTAATGAAAGTAGGATTGGCAGGAAGAAGGTTACTAGGTTGACATAGCTAAGTGAGAAGAAGACAGACTACATGATGTACGTGAGGCTCGTGTGGTTGAACATGGCCATGCTTCGTGTAGATTCACAGAATGGAGCTCTGCCGGCTGTTCCCAGGGAAGGAAGACTGCACAAAGCAGGGTCTCTCCACAGCTAACTCCAGTAGGGTGGGAGACACCAGATATTTGTATTTGGGAAGGAGGGGAGATAAGGGAACATCCTCAGCTCCCACATCTCACTACAACTTGTTAGTTACTATGGAACCTGATGAAATTATTCCAATCCCAAATAACCCCTCTGTACGTCTGAATACAGCAACACTCTTCTGGTCTACTTAAGGTTCATGTTTCCCAAACTTATAATTCTGTGTGTGCCATGAGGCTAGGTAGTGTTTTTTTGTTTGTTTGTTTGTTTTTTTTGTTTTTTTTTTTGTTTTTTTTTTGACAGGACACTTTTCATGACTGTGTCCCTCTAAGGGTGAGTCCAGAATTGAAGCTTTCAGAATGGAGGCAGATTGGTTATAAGACTTTTCTGCACTTGAACCTTAGGAAAGGAAGTTGAGAAATAATCACTATTACTTCCTATAGTGGCCAACGTTTTGGTGAAATGTATATACTCAAGATAAGTTTGGCCTTATGCACTACGTTAACGCTGTTAAATAACTATGACCCCAAAAGAACATTTTCACTTATTACAATTAGAGAGATGGGCTGGAGAGATGGTTCAGTGATTAAGAACACTGACTGCTTTTCCAGAGGACCTGGGTTCAATTCACAGTATCCACACACATAAAATAAGTAATAATTTACTTTTTTATTTTAAGAAGGAGGAGAATAAGTGTTTTAATTCACACTGACATTCTCTCCTTCCTATGTCTCCCAGACACCTGTCCTAACTGTGTTTTTAAAACTAGTGACTAAGTCTACTTGCAGCCTGTGTAGATAAGGAATAAATCATGTTACCGAGGGTGATTTCTTATGTTTCTATTTGATGATATAGGCCCAAAGGGTTCTCACTGACACGGAAGTGTGAATTCTGTCTCTCTTATTGTCTTCCTAACTAATGGTCCCCCGGGGTTGAACAGCACAGAGTGGGTATGTGAGCCTAAATAACAAAGAAAAACAGCTATCTAGAAATAACTTAATGAGATAAAATTTGACACATAGTTTAATGAAAGATACTGAAAATGTAGGTGATTCCTTCTCAATAAATCATCAGTGGAAAACAGTGACCCTTTTCTGCCTCTCTCCCTCTGCTCCCTTTTCCTCCCCCACCCCCTCCCCGCCCACCACTTTCTTTGCAGTATATTATTTCGGGATCACTCCTGGCAGCAGCAGCAGAGCAAACCTCCAGGAAGAGCTTGGCAAGTAATCGGATGGCTTCCCCACACACCAGACACCATAGCTACTTTATGGCTTTCCCACACACCAGACACAATAGCTACTTTATGGCTTTCCCACACACCGGACACAATAGCTACTTTCTCAGTTGAAAACAAGTCCTGGGGACCCTTGAAGAGCTCAGCTATCATAAATTATCTAGGAGTAAAGGATCCTATCTCATTCTAGTTACGATACAATTTTCTTCATAAAAACTACAACTGGTATCTGCCTTAAGTCTATCCATAGCAAGAGAATCCAAGGCAGAGCTCAGAAGACAGTACTTAACAGTCTTCCCATGCTAAGCTCCCTGTAGAGATGATAGATCTGACATATTCTGAAAAAGTCATTTCTCCCCAACACTATTTAGGAAAATGTTTTGATCCATATGCTTGAGTCAGGTTCTTGCTAAGTCAGAACCCTGAGTAAGTTAATACAGGGGTACCCCTGACTTTTCACCCCATGAATGGAAGGACTAGTCCTACATAGGAGATCAAGATAACGATGAAGTGGGTGTTGTGTGTGACAGTATGATGTAATCTGTAAGGCCTACAGTGTGTTCTGTCCTTAAGGATCCGTTTATAGCATCTTAAAAAGAGTAACATACAGAATTCCTAAATCTGGATGGGTGACCAGATCGCACTACCAAATTTCTCTCCAGAAAATCCTCTAACAATACCTTCACTTGCCAACCTAAGTCACTGTGAGCTGGTAAGGATCTCAGAGAACTGGGATGGCTCTTCTCTATACACGGTCTGAAAATTTCAATTTAGGGGAAGAGACAAAGTGTTTACAAATATCAAATACAACCAAAACTACCAAATTGCCATTAATAGGTCATGTAGCTAGGAATGAAATATGTGTTTCATGAAACAGCCGTCAATAATGCCATATCATCGCGGTACTTGGCATACGATACGTAGGACAGAGCAGTCACAACCATGTCCTCTAGCCTGTGTATCAAGAGACAGCCCTAATGGTATTGGGGGAAGACAGCTGATTGGGGGTGACATTGTCAGTAAGGAGTGGAAGCATTATTATGGCTGATGCATTGTTTTTTACTGGATGGTACAAACCTAGAAGGTTCTATCTATAGCTACATCAACCATCTTTAGTCATGATATAAAATCCTTCTTATCCCTCTGCCCACTGCCTCATTATGCAAAGTGATAATAATCTGGATGTTCATTAAGTCTTTACTGCATGTCTGGGAAGGTGGGGACAATGAAAGAAGTTCAGGGATACAGCATGTGGGTAAGGGATCGCTGGAATTATGAATTCGAAATTGGGTGGGTGGTGATTGAATAAGATGGGAAGACTGGAAAAGGAGGGAGAAGGAGGCTAAACAATATGCTTCACAGTGACAAAGAGGCTAAAAGCCATCCGGAGAACAGAACCAGAATTCAGGTGTGGCACATTTGTGAGTCAGGCTGATGGCAGCTGGAACCCCACACCCAGCTTTAAGTTTTCTGAACAGAAATCAAATTGAATTAACAAACCTGCCTCTGTTCCAGGTCAAAGCAAAAGTGATAATGAACTCTCTGAGCCTCTTTGTTGCCACTTCTGGGATAATTCTTTCAATCATGGACATACTGAACATTACAGTTTCTCATTTTTTAAAAATGGAGCGCCTGAATCTTAGCAAAACTCCCAACCTGTACGTTGATATCTACAACTGTGAACCGGCTAACTCCTCGGATAAAAATTCCCCATCGACACAGTACTGCTACAGCATGCAGTCTGTGTTCCTGGTAAGCATGGAAGAGGGCTCCTCCAGAGAAGAACCGTGCTATGTTTTACCATGAACATTGACTTTGTGTCCAGGTAGTCTGTGTCTGCTATTTTTTCCAAATGTGGCTTTGGGCAAAAACCCTCCTCCTAAACTGCTTCCATCTCCTCAGCTGGAAAACATGGAGAGTGAGAGTGATACTGTATATCTCCTTGGTTTGATTTGAGAAACTAACTAGTTAGCATGAGCAAGGCACTTGGAATCGTGGTACAGAAGATGCTAACTGTGACTTTATTATTTCTTCTGACAAATGGGCTTGCTGTGTAGCCCTGGATGGTCTGCTGCTGACTATTTAGCCCAGACTAGTTTAAAATTTGCAACAATGCTGCCTCTACTTCCTGAACGCTAGAATTACTGGCATGTGCCCCCACACTTTATGTGTTCATCATTGTTAATATCATTGGTGACATTAATGTTATTATTATTAATAAAATATGAAAGAAATTCCTAAATTGTTATTAACATATTTCCCCCACAGAACTTTGAATGCAGAGTTTAAAGGGGAAAGGCAATGCATTTCCCAAGTGTTGTGGAGTTTCCTTGGTGTGATACCACATCCTCTAAAGCGGATCCAATTTCCAGGATCTCACGTAATCCAGGCTGGCCTTCACTTTGCTGTATAGTTAAGAACAACCTTGACCTTCTGATCTCCTTGCCTCCACCTCCCGTTGTGCTGGGATTACAGGCACCTGCCACCATACCTAGTTTACACAGTGGGACTAGAACTTAGGACCTCAAGTATGCTGGTCGAGTACCCTACCCATAAGCTACCATACCTGACCAAGGTGACAGAATTTAATGTGGAACTCTTTCTCACAATGAATTGATTCTTCAGTTTCCTAAGCCCACCTTACTTCCTTACTGGGTTCGGCACATGGGCTGTAGATGCTTCCTTCTGTAGCAGCCATTCCTCGCAGCGGTGCAGCTTACTCACCTGAAGAACTGAGCTGAATTGGCGCTCACCGAGTTCCCGGCGGCAGGCGGCAGGCATCACTGAGCACTGAGCATGACCACCGTTCATCTCATCTTTGCCTCTGTTCTGTTGATTTCCAGGGCATTTTGTCAGTGATGCTGATCTCTGCCTTCTTCCAGAAACTTGTGACAGCTGGCGTTGTGGAAAATGATTGGAAAAGAGTGTGCTCCAGATCCAAATCTGTAAGTTGGAGTTACCTGTCCACAACATCTTTCTAGAAAAATTAATATCTACAAAGAACTGTTTACAAAGAATAATCTGACAAAAATTTGAAACTAGGACCTTCACTGGAATAAAATAGTTTTATTCTGTTTTCGGACAACAGAAAGCACCAGTAGTGGCAGCAGATGTTTTGAAGGGTGAGTGAGGCTATGGTCAAGCAGCTCCCAGAGTTAACCACGCCTGCCACCAGCTTTCCTGTCCTTGACTTCAGACTCCCACTCCCCCTGTCTTGGTTACTGTCCTATGGCAGTGATCAGAGAGAGCATTTGGGGATTACGGCTCCTGAAGATTAGCTGGAGCCCATGACCATCACGGGGAGGAGCATGGCAGCCAGCAGGCAGGTGTGGCTCCGCAGCAGTAGCTGAGAGCTCACATCTGATCCACAAGCAGGAGGCAGAGAGAGTTAACTGGAATGGCTCCAACTTTTGAAACCTCAAAGCCCAACCCCAGCGACACGTCTCCTCCCACAAGGCCATATTTCCTAATCATTCCCACAGTTCAACCAATCACAGAATCAGTATTCAAAATTTTGAGCCTACGGGGGGGGCTGTTCTTACTCATACCTTGATCACATGCCCCTCCCGTCTTAATCTATAACGAGGGATGGTTGAAGGCTGGAGGCCGATAAAGTCGCTGCTTCCTGGATTTTGCAGTGCTCCCCTCTCCCCACACTCTTCACCTCATTTCACTTCCAAAGCAATGTATTTCAAAGAGTCTCCAAAGCTGGGAAATATGAATGTTCCAATAGCAACCCTCTTATAAACTTCCTCAAAACTACAGACTGTAAGATTTAGCTTATAGTTTTAAACCCATTACTGATTACTTCATTATACAGAAGGAGAGACAGCAGACTGAGACTAACTTTAAAAGATTATGATCACTAATGGCAAATCAGTTCTGGAATACAACTCCTCTATTTTGGTGTTATTTTTCCATGTGGTCTAATTATTCTGGGGAAAATGGCAAATGCCTGAAGTCCTTAACAATTAACACAGACTCGATATTTAATAAGTAGGTGATTTGATGAGAATTTGCATGTCCAAGTGGCCAATCCTGGTATCTATAGTATATGGCTAATTAAATGAAGGACATGAGAATAAGTTGGCATTTGAATATATGTAGAGTGTTCGGAGGCATGTCAAGGGTAAATGTCAAGAGGCGTTTGTTTATGTTCTAGAACGTGGTTCTGCTAGCAGCTGGACAAAAAAAAGAACAGACGATTAAGGTGAAAGAAGAAATCATTGAGCTGAGCGGAGTATCTCCCCAACTGAAGAAGGAAGAAGAAATTGAAATCATCCCAGTGCAAGAAGAAGAAGAAGAAGAAACAGAAGTGAACTTTCCAGAACCTCCCCAGGAACAGGAATCCTTGCCAGTGGAAAATGAGATCTCTCCTTAAGCGCTTTTCCTTTATTAGCATTATCATTTAGAGAGCTTCCAAGACACACAGTTACCCCATTCCTGTGGTCTTCCACGTCTATTCTCCACGCTTCTACAGCTTATCTTTGCATAGAGAAGCCACGTCTAGCTTTCCTTCCCATTTGGAGAATATGACAATTGTAGCAGATTGTGTTGTCCCTTGCTTGGGAGTTTTACGAGGGAAGAGATGCTGCAGGACTCACTTCTCATCCACCTTTCTCTGGGAAGGGCATTTTTGTAGTGGTAGTGCTTTTTCTCCATTTTTCCACCAGCAGCTGCAGCTGAGGGAAAGGACACACGGCTGTTCCACCCACCTCTGAACTCTCCAACTCTACCTACATTTCTGGTGGAGTCCTTTCTGCATTGCCGTCTTAAGGAAAATAGAAGCAATGATGGAGGGAATGAGGCACAATTTTTTCAGGGGAAAGGTCACTGTAGCGTGTTTCTCAAGCTTCTGGATCCCATTTGGAAAGCTGCGAAAGGCAAGAACTAACCCTGTCTCTGTACAAACAGCAGACCTTACACATAAGCGAGTCTCTGTGTCTTAACTTTGTCCAACTCCTGTTTCTGGGCTTCTGGTCACATTGTTTACCTCCACGAACCCTTTAGTCAAGAGAAGAAAGGATGGTGTGACATAGCAGGTACCCAAACCTCACATTATAGACAACAGCTGTGCTTACAGGGTGTTGTCCAGAGCGCAGAACAGTTTACGGAACACTTTCATGTGATCTCTCATGACCATGACAGAATCCCTAGCACTATTTTACAATTAAACTGAAAATAGGGAGCAAGCCAATGTATCCTGACCCATCGCACCTAATAGTTGTGGGGACGTGAGTCAGAACCATCTCTTCAAATCCTGAAGATGTTTGAAACGACCAAAGTATTTATACCCAATGTCCGCATGGCTATGAGCCATGTGTTGAGTCGTAGAAGAGTCAGAACTGGATTTGACACCACATGAGTAAAAACACCTAGATACTTATAGTATCAGAAAACCAGTCAAGACATTAACATGCAATCAGCTGGCAAGTTATAAGATGTAGATACTAAGCACTATAAATGATCTCAGAAAGTCAAGCTTAGAAAAAACATAGTTAAGATGCCAACTCTCAGGACACCGTACTTTTCCACACCCCCTCTGTTCATGTACAGGGAGTCTAGCACCTGACCTAGAAACATTGTCAGCCTAAGAAGATCTTGCTATACCCTATCAAACAGATGTCATGATCAGTTTGCTTCTAGGCATGACGGGTATATGGACAACTTAAGTCACACTCCTCAGAATATTCCCATATTATGAGCAGTTACTGGTGGGAGGTACTTCCTGTAATTACAAAGAAAATGGAAGTCGAACATTTCCCCTTGTGAAGCATTCCAAACAAGCTCTAAATGAATAGAACTGTGTGTTCATGGTTGCAATGGCTGAGTCCACTCTGTGTATTTCCTTATTCATGTTATCAAATTCTGCAACCTCAGTTCGTATTTATGTAAACCAATCTGTGTTAGAATAGAGACACATGAGGCATACTGAGCTATTCCTACAAACCTCACGCAGGCTCCCAAGGAAATTATTCATCCAGTAGATCATTACTAATTACTGCTCCCTCTTGCAAGCCACAGCATGATTCTTCACATCCAACACATGGAAGTTGCCCCTGTCTACATGAAATAATATGGCCGTGGCTGGAGTAAGGGGGAGAGAGGTGAGAGGTGAGGAACAGCTGAAGAAATCTCTAAAAGAAGTATTCCGTTTCTAAGTTTCCCCTCTCTGAAACTCATCATTTCCTTAAGGGCTTTATCTATTGATAGGTTCTCAAATAATCCATTTTTACCAAATTCTCACTTCTCTTTATGGGATAACTTTAACGTCTATTTAAGAAGAACGAAAATTCTTGCTGACCTCCCCTCAAGAATCTTCTGCCAACGCAGCATCCGATAACATTCCCCAATGGCAGAACTGTTTATCAAAGCAACAGATATTTCTCTAGCTTCAAGTTAGATTTTCCTCTCAATTTTTATTTTTGTAAAAACAATTTTGTAGCCATAAGGAACAAAATCTTTTAAAAAAAAAAAAGTTAATTGCCTGATATACCATGGCAGATACCCATGGTAGGCCCGCCTGTATCTGAAATGATGAAGGAGAAGATGGGCGTGGTAGGGAAGGGGAGGTGGAGGGAGAGCGTGGGGGGAACTTTGATTGGGATGTAAAAGAAATAAACAAAAGAAGCCAGTTACACCCATTGACTAGATACCCATCAGTGGCTCGATTATTTAGGGACCAACAACAAGGCAGAAGAGTATCAAGGACGGAGGCATGAGGTGGCATGAGGCTGCTCGCCTTGGGGCAGCCGGGGAGCAGAAAGACAGCTGAAAAGACTTGGGTCCGACAGCTCTTCAAGGGCATGCCAAGCTTGAGCAGCGGACGTTTAGAGGGGACTTAAGAGCCAAACCATAATGTGATAAGGCACAGCTGTTAAGAGAGGTATAATTAAAAATAAGACAAAGACCTTAACTTCAAAAATGTTAGTGCTTGACTGAAGACAATAAGATGTATACGAGGATAATGAGTTGAACTCCAGGAAAACTCAGTGGAAAAGGAATAATCATTTCAACAAATGATCATTGGGATGCATGATAGCTACACAGAGAATAATATAAATAGATAAATTGAAAGTTTACCTCATACAGTATGAAAATACTAACTCATAATGGATTAGAACCATAACTGTAAGAGCAGCCATTAAAAAAATACCTAGAAGAAAAATACAGACTTAAGATTTGTGACCTTGAATTAGACAGTAGTTTCTTAAATGTAATACCAAAATAATGAACAACCAGCAAAAATTGAAAGCCATCATAAATTTTAAATGTTGTGATTTTTAAATATTTTCATTTGACTTATATCTTCTCATGTGAGCCTTTGTGAGTTTATTTGTAGCACACATGTCACGTGTGTGCTGGGGTCCGCAGAGGCCAGAGGGAGGGCTGTCAGATCCCCTGGAACGAGGGACAAGGGGCTTGTGAGCTGCCACGTGGTTCTGGGGACCAAACCCAGGCCCTATACAAGAACAGTTAAACACTACTAACAGTTGAGCCACCTCTACAGGGCCTAGAAATTTTATGACTTGAAGGCACAATTTTTAAAAGTGTAAATGCAACCCACGTAAGGGGGAAACACAAATCCTGAATCTGATAAAGGTGCTGTCTCTAGAAGTCACAGAGGAAGCTTAAGTTAAATAATACATGGGCAAATGGCCTAATTTTATTTAAAATTAGCAAACGATTTGAGCACAGATTTCTCCAAATACATTGTACAAATAGCCAATAAGCAAATAAATGGTTCATTATGCACTACGAAAATGTGAATGAAAACCTCAGCGACAGACACAGCTTCACATCATGAGAGTGGCTGCCAACATAAGGAAGGCAGCAAGTGCTGGTGAGGAGCTGGAGGGAATGTTCATAAAATACTGATCGAAACACAGGCTAATGTGATTAATCTCTTCGTAAAAATATTTTCTAATTATCAAAAAATGCTAAATGCAAAGTTTCTATATGGCCCCAGAAGTTTGCTACCAGGCAGATGGATGCCCAAGGACAACAGAAATGTGAACACACAAAACTGAGTACAATTATCCACAGAAAAAATAACTAAAAATTGGAAACAGCTCAAATATCTATCAACTAATGAATGAGCAGGAAAAATGACCCACCCATGTGAAAACTTACTCATCGCTTAAAAGGATGCACTCTTCTTGCCAAGGAGCAAGAAGCCAGTAAAATGTTGTTTGATTCCATTTATATGACATGTCCAGAATGGTTTCCTGAAACTGGAGGTGGAGTGGCTACTAATTGATCTTTCTTCAATCCTGTGAATTTGATAAAAAAAAAAAAAACTTAAAAGAATGGATTGCATGGTATTTAAAAGTGTTTTAAAAGCTATCATGAATATGAGGCAACCAGAAATAACTGACATAATAAGCCCCATTGATCAGCATCCAATAATTGCTCAATGATACAGCATAAGAGGAAACTCAGTGAAGGTGAACTGTGACAAAAAAAAAAAAACAGGAAGTATCTGAACTAAATCTTAGCGAATAGGTGAGAATATATGCAGAGAAAAAGAGGAAAGGTGATGGAGAAAGGTCATGTTACTTTTATTGGTTAATAAAAAGACTGCCTTGGCCTTTTTGATAGGCCAGCCCTTAGGTGGGTGGAGTAGACAGAACAGAATTGTGGGAGAAAGAAAGCAGAGGCAGACAGTCGCCATGACTCTCTTCTCTGAGACAGACACAGGTTAGAATCCTCCTGGTAAGCCACCACCTCGTGGTGCTACATACATGATTAAAAATGGGTTAGATCAATATGTAAGAGTTAGCCAAAAAGAGGCTACAGATAATGGGCCAGGCAGTGCTTAAATGAATATAGTTTCCGTGTAATTATTTCAGGGGTAAAGCTAGCTGGGAGGCGGGAGGTGGGAAGCGGCCCACCGCTCCTTCTCAAGAAAGGCGATCCCTAAAAGGAAGATGAAAGTACATGAATGAGTCTCCGAAACTTGATGGACTGAAAGTCCCCAGAGGACAGTGGCGCTTCATTAGGAACGCTTGCATTTACCTGTCAGAGAAAAGGCAACTCATGAAGATGAGACTGAGAACATCTAAGAAGGTAAGGTGAGGACTTACAGTCCTGTTTTGGAAGTGTCTCAGTTACTTTTCTGTTGCTGTTATAAACCATTCATGACCAAAGCAACCTATAAAAAGAAGAGTTTTATTGGGCTTACGACTCCAGAGAGTTTCTGAAGGTGGACTGAAGGCGTAGCCTTAGGCTGGTACGGCCGTGGAGAACTCCCATCCCATCCACAAGCCGGAGGCACAGAGCACATTGAAATGGCTTGGGTCTTTTGCCACTTCGAAGGCTGCCCCCAGTGATTCACCTCCTCCAAGACCAGGCCTCCTAATAATTCCCCAATAGTTCCACTAACTGGAGAACAAGTACTCAAACCTATGAGCCTACAGTAGCCATTCTGTTCAAGCCAGCACAGGTAGTTAAGAAGAAAAAGCCTCAAGGGGCAAGGAAGAGATGCAGAATACTACCACGGAGACACTCTCGAGAATGAGAGCTGAGCAAGGGCCACTGGGACCAGGGTTAGGGGACGCGTGTGTAGGAAAGCATTCGTGATCCTAGAGAAGCTAAATAAGAAGATGAACCTGATGAAGATTATTTAGCTATCCGCCAGGAGGTAGGAAATAGACAAGAGTCCCAGGTAACCTCGAGTGCATGAGGGGATGGGAGGGTTGTTGGAAGGGGAGAGGGTTAGAGAGAAGGGAGTAGGGGAGGAATGGGGAAAGCTCGGTGGACCGGGATGGGGGGGAAGGAGGAAGGATGAATATGGGATCAGGGAAGAATATATTTCAACTAAGGGAGTCATTTTAGGGTATACAGGAGACTTGATTATATATGGGATCCCAGGTCCAAGGAGAGATCCCCAGATTGTTCTCTGGACAGAGGAGAGGGTGCCTGAACCGG